AAAAAAAAAAAGCTACATTCTTTATTTTCTGACAGGAAATTATAAAATATTGAACATTTGATATTCAGTGTTCTGTTCAGTCAGCAGATGGACCTGTAGTCTCCTTTCACATATTTGACTAATTCAATATTCATCTGTGCAAAAAGAAGCTAAACAAGTGATTAGAACAGTGGCTTGTCCCCTTATCAGACACCTCGGTATCTGGTTCCAATCAGAGGAAGCTTTATGCTTTGTTTGCTGCACTTCCTTTTTAAGTAACCCATTTGTAAAACAAATCTATGTTTTAAAAACTGATATATTTGCCAATAGATTAGGACTATGTCTTCCTTAGAGCACCAGATTGGGTGTATAACACACAACATATTCGGAGTATTGTTGATGCCATGAACAGGACCAACTATTAAAGGAGAATTCTGAGGTGAGTGATTTTCACTCCGCCTCATAATCTGAGCCGACCTGTGACAATGAAACTGTCACAGGTCGGCTCAGTAGATCGTGAAGTGAGCGAACACATACAGGTGCTCGCTCACTTCTCGATCCTGTGCCGGCAGAGAGCCGTGACGGGAGGGACTGGATTCCCCCGTCCCCTGTTCGATACTCCAGAGCTGACTGGCGGAATGGACGGGGGAGGGGGCGGGTACAGCTGGCTCTGCCTCTAGATAGGGAGAGCCAGCTGTCACTCACGCAGCTGGGTGGATGCAGACATAATTGTCGGGATCCGCTGCGGCATCTCAGTATACCACGAGTTGTAGCTCACGATATACTGAGCTTTGGGTGACGGGAGGATGCTAGTTTGTGTCCTCCCGTTACCCTAAGGAGAACTATGGGGAAAAGCCCTAACCCCATAGTTCTCCTTTAATGCTTAGCCTGGACACTGAAATGACTCTTGATCAACTAAGCTAGCAATTCATAATGCCTTCAATACAATTTGTTGGGCTAAAGGTCCCCTTCTTACATGCTATAAAAGCCCTTTGCTCTACTCCCTCATACATCATCTCAAAAGATGACCATTCTGACGGCACCAAACAGGCCTGTCCACCAAAACAAAGGACTTTACTTTGTTTTGCTATGAGCATTGAACCCCTTGCTGCAACTATGAGAAATAACCCAAACATTGCCCAAAAATTGATTGGAGAAAAGTTGACATTTGTGCTGTGTTCTGTTAAATTCACCTGTTTAGGGCTCGGGGACGTGGTCGCAGGCGTGTTGAGGATTCAGATGATGAACAGGAAAATATTGAATTTAAAGAGGCCTTGCCACAATCTGATGACCTTCGAGTAGAACGTATGGACATTAGTGACCATGGTAAGATAAAATGATTACTGATCTTTGATGGGTATCATACAGTTTATTCCCCAGTACAACTTGGAGATTAGTAACACTGTATTTTAGATGTTGAAATAGCAAAAGTTATACAGATCCCTGCAGTTTTGTTCCTTTAAACATTTTGCATTAATTGATATGTTATTTGCTGTAGTAGGTCTTTGCCTCCTGGCTTTTCCATTGTATTATGAGGGGAATTCAGTGGGTATATAGACCAACCTTCTTCAATTGAGATTTATAATGGTGCATCAGATAATGCTTTGGTGTGGTCACTGATGTAAAGGTTTTTGTCCAATACTATATTTTTTTTTTAAGCCCAAAGTGAATATTTACTTTTGTTTCTTAACCACTTTAACTCTCATACCTGTATACCCCTTATGCACCAGAGCAATTTTTACTTACCCTCTATTGGCCTGTTTGGCGATTTTTTTTGTTTTGTTTTGTTTGTTTTTTAAGCTTAAAAATACATACGGTACATTGTTTTTAAGGACTCCAACTTGAAAGTTCTGCAGGAAGTCCTGATCGGCTAAGCCCGTTAATTCCAGGACCAAGCCCTCCTTGCAGTGCACTTGCAAAAATGGGGGTAAGGGGGCCCCTGACTTTTGGATCCAGGGGCTATAAACTAGAGTGGCGGTCTCTACCTCCACCCTGCTTCATGCACATTAACTTGCCCTCTTCCCCAAAAAAGCAGATGGATCTGGGGACCCTTATGCCTTCGCAATGAATGCTCTGGTGACTGGTTCAACCTGATCTATGCCTTTTTTCTTTTTTCCTGCCCATTTGTTTCTTGTGAGCCTGTAAGCGTGTTTTTGCTGTTGGATTACTTGGGACGTTCCTGGGTTAAGACTAAAGGTCCCATGTCCTCTACTGTACAATTAAATGTATTTTTTTCATTTACCTGTAAAAATCTTTTCTTGGGAGTACAGGACATTTTAATCTTAGTCTATTTCCACCTTTTGTAAGTGATTAGCATTTATTGTGGTAATGAAGAGGTGCAGTGATGTACTGTATGTGTAACACGATCACTAAACACCAACTCTGCCTTTGCACACAATACACTCGGAGAACTCGCTTGTAATATACACACATTGCTTGCAAAGCACAGAGACGACCATTTCCATGAGGGTATGAAGAGGAAAGCTAACAAAAAATATAAGTTTCTATGTTTATATACAGGAACGGCATATGCCTGCTTCATGTTCACTCGGTGTACATTGCTGGCATGTTTTTTACAAATGCCTCAGCAAAGGTGGAAATGGGCTTTAACCTTTTTAAATCTTTAGTCTCAACCTTACGCACTTTGTTAATACCTTTTCAGAGTGAGGTAGCATCTACCCACCATTGTTCCTATTTGCAAGAGACACCTGATTCCTCCTTGGTTAGGCCTTTCTCCTGCGTACAGTGTACTTGTCCCCTCTGGTCATTTAAACTTCTCCTGGATTCAGTCGCTGGTTTGTGAGTAACCAAGGTTTTTACCAAGTATTTGTAACCGCTTCCTGGCCGGCTTTGTAATTAAACGGCCTGCTGGGACCCTCCTGGATGTAATAGGCCGTCTAAAGCCCGTTGTGCGCGCTGTAAACTGTCAACATTTAAAAAGAGGCAGTGATGCCTGTTTACAAGCGATCTGCCGGCTATAGAGCCGACGGATCGCTTGTATGAGATGCCATTTGTGCGCCCCACCCTCTGCAGCTCTGGTCCCGAGCTCTTCTGTGCCCGGGAGGGCCGGGACCAGCAGGGCAGCTTTGTGACCCGAGATCAGAAGGAGATCTGTACACAACTCCCTCCAAGCTCCTCTCCGGTGTCAGAATGCGGAAATTATGTATATTACATCACTTTCACATTCTGCTGTCACTCTCTGGCTACAGAACCCCCAGAGAAGCTGGTGAAGCGATATGTAACATGTGCTACACATGTTACATATCGCCGCGAACGTCGCAGTGAGAGCAATCATTTTAGGGCCATCAATCACTGATAACACTAAACTGATGAGCGGTAACAGCTTTGAAAGCGTCGCCTATGGCCAATTTTGGGTATTGTTTTTTGAGGTTTCGCGCGCACGCAATTTTAAGGCTTGACATGTTTGGTGTCTTTTTACCAGACGTGACCCCGTCTTTTATATTTTACCAAAAAATTGGGTAATAATAAATGTTTTTAATATAGGGGAAACTGTTTTTTAAAAAAAAAATTTGGTAATTTTTCCTTAATTTAGTAAAAAAATAAAAACCCCAGTGGTGAATAAATACCACCAAAAGAAAGCTCTCTCTGTCCCCAAAAAAGGGTATAAAATTCATTTCAGTACAGCGCTGCATGACGGAATAAATGTCAGTCAAAGTACCGCAGCGCTGAATACTGAAAAATGGCCTGGATGGGAAGGGGGTTTAACACCGCGGATGTCAACTGGTTAAACCACATTTCCACCTTTTGCAAAGGTATTTAAAAAGTAAAAAAAACATGCCAACAATGTACACTGAACATAAAGCAGGCATACGCAGTTGCTGTATATGAACCCAGAAACAAGCATTTTTTGTGTTAGCTTTCCTCTTCATATCCTCAAGGAAATGGTTGCCTCTGTGCTGTGCAAGAAATCTGTGTATATTACAACTCCCCATTCATTAGTATTCATAGTGGCGCGCCCCCGGACAAGGGTATTATGCGTAAAGGCAGGGCTGGTGTGCAGTGTTTGTGTTACACAGGATCACAGGGAGGGGGGCAGCCTGCTTTAGAATCCAATCCCAGTGTCAAGACATCCCCTGTGGAGAAAATTTTGAATTTCTAGGATTCTGGCCTAATAGATTCATAAAAATAAGAGCCTGCAAACTGAGTCATGTAACATGTGCACACACATGTGGTTTTACGTCATTTTCAGGCCTAAAATGTGGAATATAACATGGGTGCAAAAATGGAAAAAAGGGCCTCAGTCATGAAGGGGTTAAACACATCTGGGTAAGGGCCTGGGCTGTGGTATGTGAGGGGATCCTCAGTTGGAGATCTCTGAATGATAAATGCACAGGTGTGTATTCTGTATTTGATTTAGTCATATCCATAAAGGTGCCCATACACTGTACGATTATCGTACGAGAATCGCGGGAAATCCCGGGATAATCGCAAAGTACCATATTTTTCGCTCCATAAGACGCACTTTTTTCCCCCCAAAAGGAGGGGGAAAATGTGCCTGCGTCTTATGGAGCGAATCCCGACGCCCGAGACATGCAGTTTCAGGTGCCGGGCGAGTAGTAGGAGCCACTGCTCGTTTAATGCGAGTGATCTAATGAGATCACTCGTATTAAAACCGAGCGGCGGCGATCGTATTCAGCAGTAGGAGCCACTGCTTGTTTAATACGAGTGATCTAATGAGATCAATCGTATTAAAACCGAGCAGCGGCGACGATGGAGATCACCATAGAGCAGACGAAGAACTGACTTTCTTTGTCTGCTCTGTGTGATCACTGAGACCGTGGCGCTGTAATCACAGCGCCACCTGTCTCAGCGGTCACTAACTGCAGCTTCTGTCACAGCTTCTGTCATAGAAGCTGTGTCAGAAGCTACCGTATTTTGCGGTCCATAAGACGCGCCGGACCTCCCTGCGTCCTATGGTCCGGTGCGTCTTATGGACCGCAAAATACGGTAAATGGAAGGCGTGCGACCGTTTCTACTGTAAGGTCTTCCGTCGAACAAGCAGGCTGGAGTTAGTGAAATGCTTGTTCGACAACTGCCGAACGGGCCGGTATCGCACAAATATCTTATTATTTATTCTTGGACAGGATTTTGATGTAGAATATGTGAAATATATTAAAAAATGTGTCATGACCGTTTTTGTTCTACTTCTACTGTACTACTTTTTTTTTTTTTTTTTTTCTTTCTTTTCCCTGTTACAACCTAAACTAAATCATGTTTCTTTTCCAGAGGAGATGCCAGACTCCCCCGTGGTTTTGGAAGAAGATGAATTGGAGATAGAGTTAAAAAACCAGCTAGATAAAAGTAGACGTCTAAAACAGCTGCAGCAGCAGAAGGATGCTACTGAGAAGGTATGGGTGCCCAGTATTTGTCATTGTCTGCTTTGTGGAAAGCATTGGATGTTATAAGTCATATGTGACTAACAAAATATAAAAGGTAAATGAACTACCATGGTCTAAGCAAAGACATTTGTTTAGTTAACCACTTGCTGACCTGGGTGTTTATACCCCCTTCCTGTCCAGGCCATTTTTCCGTTTTCAGCGCTGAGGTACTTTGACTGACATTTATTCCGTCATGCAACGCTGTACTGAAATGAATTTTATACAATTTTTTTTTTTAGGCACAGATAGAGCTTTTGTTTTGGTGGTATTTTTTTACTGTATAATGAAAAAAGTACCGAAAATTTTGAAAAAAAAACCTGTTCTCCCTACGTTGTTATAAAACATTTATTACCCAATTTTTTGGTAAAATATAAAAGACGGGGGTCACGTCGGGTAAATAGACACCAAACATGTCAAGCTTTAAAATTGCGAGCACCTGTTAAATTGCAAGAAACTACCATACTCAAAATTGACCATAGCCAACGCTTTAAAAGCTTTTACCGCTCATCAGTTTAGTGTTATCAGTGATTTATGGCCCTAGAATTATTGCTCTCATTCCGACGTTCGCGGCGAGATGTAACATGTGCGGCACTATGGATGTAATCTGCGTTTTCGCACGTAGGCGGGCTTGACGCATGTTTGCGTGTGCACGTGGAGGCGGGGGACTTAAATTTTTTTTTTTATTGCTTTGTGATTTTATGTGTTTTTTTTTTTTTATTTTTTGTAACATTTTTTTAAACCTTTTTTTTTCACTGAACTTTATTGCTATCACATGTGATGTGATAGCCAATTTGCAGTGAGAGGTCCCCTTTATGGAGACATCAGGGGTCTTTAAGACCCCTAATGTCACCTTGGGACCCCCAGGGAAGCTGATGAAGCAGAGACCTGCTTCACCAGCTTCTCTCCGGTTTCTGTACCGGAGAGTGACATTGGAATGCGGAAGTGATGTAATACACATTACTTTCTGCATTCAGAAGAGATCATCAAACGGAGCTCGTGTACTGAGCTTCGTTTGATCTCCGGCTGCTGTGCTGGTCCCGGGGTCACACCGGGAACAGCGGAGCCTGGGATCGCCAGCAGCGGGGGGGGGGCGGCGCACACCCGCACGCATATTACAAGCGATCGGTCGTCTCTACAGACACCTGAACGCTTGCATGTAAACAGCCATCGCTGGCTGTTTACCTTCAAAGCTGGTTTCCCGCTCGTGCCCGCCGCCCGCCCTCAAGAAGCCGCTGTCCATCCTTTTAATTACAACAGCCGGACAGCAGGTGGTTAAAGATAGTGGAGCTGATTCATATCTTTATATAACCCATGAGAATTTTTACAATTGGGACTGCTTCTGTAGCTGAGAGTGCTGCTGATAAGCAACTTAGCTTATCTAAACCAAAAAGCACAGAAATGTATTTTTCCTACCAGGCTATACAGCATAGATGGAAAAATCTCCTTTGCTGGGCTGTTGTATTCTGACAGCTGGCGCCTGCAGCTGTCCTAATCCTGGATTGGCTGCAGTCTCTTTTCGGCTGACATTTTTCCACCCAGTTCCTTCGATTTACAGCAGTGTATGGTCGGCTTTAGTATGAGGATTGACCTGTCGCTGTGCTGGGTGACCTCCCTGGCCAGTAGTGAGGTTTATAGGTAGGACAGGAACAGATTCTTAATTCAGGATATATATGTAAGAGTGCCCTGTGGTTCATGGTTAATGGACTGAAAAGGAAAGTTCACCTATGTGCAGGCACTAGTAGGTGGTACTTGCTCTGCAGTGCCAGCAGTGGTTCTGGTAAGTGTAATTCACTTTAGGTTTGCTTTAAGGAAATCATTTACACTACCAGAAGTGTGCCTGTTCCAGAACGAACAAGGTTAGGGATCTGAGATTGTGTTGAGCTGTTTTATTAGGAGCAATGTGTAGGAGGGTGTAATGGCATGTGCAGAAGAAGGGGGATTAAAGTGTGCATTATGAGTAGTAGAGAGAGCGACGGGTGTGACAGTGGGTAGAATTTGTAGAATATTATTTCGGAGGATATGACCGTTCCAAGTGCAGGAGTGCTGTGTGAAGGATATGATGGCAGGCAGTATTTTTAGGAAAGAGGCAGTGGGTATGGTAGTGGACAGTATGTGCATGAGAAAAAAGCAGAGAAGTATGACAGTGGGCAGTATGTCCAGGAGAGAAGTGCAGGGTGGGTTTATGTGAAGATATTATGTGCTGGAGAGGAGCTGTGAAGGGTGTGACAGCGTTTAAGTAGCTATAGTCACTGTCAGTTTTGATGAACTTGAAATTGATAGTGTAAACATGAGTTAAAGTTCACCAAAATTTCCAGCTTATCTCTAGTGGTGATAGGGGGGCAGTCCCTGGTGCGGCTAGAAGCTTTAAGGAAATCCTTTTACACTTATATTAATGTTTTGTATTGCAAATTTAACGGGTTCTTCAGATTTAACATTTTAACCCCTTCATGACCGAGGCCTTTTTGTTTACATGTTATAATCCACATTTTTGGCCTGGAAATTACTTAAAACCCCCTAAACATTGTGTTTTCTGAAAGCCAAGACTCTATAGAATAAAATGTGGGCAGTTGCAAATTTTTATGTTGCACGATTTTAGTGCAACTCCTTATCAAACCCCCAAATTCAGTGAATAATGCACTTAAATGCCCCAAAGCACAATAAAATACCCATTTGTTTTATAAAATATAAAAGATGAGGTTACAACGAGTAAACAGATACTCAACATGCCCAGGTAAAAGATTGTATGCAGCCGTTAAAATGCGACAAAATTCAGTACCCCAAAAAGTTTATAGACAACACTTTAAAGCCCCCACAGGTCATCACTTTAGAGATGCGCATAAATATTGGTCCTAGAATTATTGCTCTCCAGCATGTGCGGCGATACCCAACATGTGTAGCGCGATCGTCGTTTTCATGCGTAGACGCACCCAATTCGTGTTTACGTGAAGACGTGCGTGCTGGTGGGAATTTCAAAAAAAAATGTTTTACATTAATTTTATTTATTTTTAAAACATATCATTTATTTTTTTTAATGTAATTGCTATGACATAGGGGGGCTTAGAAGCTGCCCATGTGATAGCATATTGGCAGTGACCGGTACTCTTTAAGGTGATACTGGGGATCCAGAAGACCCCTGGTATCACCTTAAAGGTGGCCATACACTTTACAACCATCGCAAGACCTTAGTCTTGCGATGGTTGTAAAGTACTTAAAAAAATGTACGATCTGCCCATCTTGGACAGGCAGATCGTACTTGCTATCACTGCAATGAGGGGCGGGCTTGCAAGCACGGCAAACGGGCAGTGTGCGCGTGCGCACACCAGCCCATTCGTCAGTTGTTTCGTACGATTCCCGGCGGGTTTTCCAGCCTGCTTGTTCGATGGAAGACGTGCGACCGTACAGTAGAAACGGTCGCACGCCTTCCATACACTGTATGATTCTCGTACGATCGCGGGATTTCCCGCGATTCTCGTACGAGAATCGTACAGTGTATGGGCACCTTTACACTTGAAAGAAGCTATTGAAGTGCAGATTGTACTTCAATAGCTTATTGCTGGGCTTCAGGAGCCCAGCACTGATGGCTATCGGACTGGAAGTGATGTAATCTGCATCTCTCCCGGTCCCATAGTACGGGGAGGAGATCGGTGCACAGAGGTTCGCCGATCTCCTCCACAGCTTTCCACCCCGACACCAGAGAAGCCGGTCCCGTAGGAGGGCCAACAGAGCCCGGGAAAAACAGCGGGGGTGGCTGCCGTTTACCAGCCTGTAGAAGCGATCTGCCGGCAGCTGAGCCGCCAGAATCGCTTCTACTCTAAAGCAGACAGTCGGATTTACAAGTTTAAACAGAGTCCTGGCGGCAAAAGCCACCGGGAGTCTGTTTAAACGTACGTCAGTGGTCATGAAGGGGTTAAACTCTTACAAACATTGATGGTTACAGTTATCAGATTTGTGCAGGATCTTCATTTGTAAAGACTGTGCACTTTAATGTTCATCATCCTGATTCTGCCCCTCCTTCCCATCAATTTTTAATATAATTACAATAAGTGAGATTATTCCATACACTTCACTTGCCAGCCTGCAGCGATTCCTCTGCTGCCAGTGGTGCCTTGAAATTTGGTCAGTTTAGTTGGCTATGATGAAAGCCTTTTCTAGCCAGAATACTGAACTGCTAATGAATTAATTATTCTAAGTGTGGGTGATGTGTTTCCTGTTCCGGTGGGAGGAGCCTATCTCTCTAATGCTGTCCTGGAAGGTTCCTAGAAACAGAGTTACCAGGTACGTAACTCCAATTTTCAGTAGCTCCACGTTTTATACAGTTGTAGCGTTTTGGACATTGTTACATACACTAAAAGAAAAATGCTGCTGTGCACCTTTCCCAATAGTAATTACATCATTGTTGGAGAAGATGAGCTGATTGTTTGCTTGTGAACCTATTCTAAAGCATTGCTCAGAGTATCCGAACCTAAATTATTGTCCTTGCACTGAGGAGGCAGGCGGTGTAAACTGTTATAGCAAGATAATCGCGTATGCTTTAGGCATTTGGGGGGGAAAAAAGCCTGAATGTTTTCATGTCATAGTTCCTTGCTAATGGGCTTGGTGGTCTTTATACTTCACACTGGTATTTATCACATTTGCTCTTTAAATGTTTGTTCTTTTAAGGTTGTTTCAATGGTAAGTCTGACTTCTCAGCGGAGTCAAGATGAAGAAGAGGATGATGATAAGAAAGGATCTATTGTGTTCAATGCAACCTCTGAATTCTGCAGAACACTTGGGGAGATTCCAACTTATGGCCTAGCAGGGAACAGAGAAGATCAAGAGGATTTAATGGTATGTGGCGCTCTTTTGAAACTCCAGTTACCTAGTTCTGCTTTCATTATGTTACCCTATACTTACAGGGGCCTAACTCTTTGCTACTTTTTCCAAAGGACTTTGAGAAAGAAAACGAATCTGAGAAAGAAGGAGGGGATTCTGATGGAGAGGAGAATGTTGGCTGGAGCATGGTGAATCTTGATGAAGAGAAGAACCAGCAAGAGGTGTGTTAGGAACAGATAACTGTATCCTCAGTTGTTCTTTTCTTTTTTCAGCATTAGCAGCATCATACAGGTGAAACTCGGATAATTAGAATATCGTGCAAAGTTAATTTATTTCACTAATGCAACTTAAAAGGTGAAACTAATATATGAGACTCATTACATGCAAAGCAAGATAATTCAAGCTGTGATTTGTCATAATTGTGATGATTATGGCTTACAGCTCATGAAAACCCCAAGAACCCCAAATCCACAACCTCAAAAAAGTAGATTATTACATGCAATCAATAAAACAAGGATTGTACATAGAACAATATCGGACCTCTGAAAAGTACAAGCATGCATATGTACTCAGTACTTGGTTTGGGCCCCTTTTGCAGCACTTACTGCAATTACTTTTGCATGATATTCTAATTATTTGAGTTTCACCTGTATAGTTTTCTTGGCACTAAAAACAAAACCGTGGTCTAAGGCAGATTTAAAGAACTCAATCGGTCATGTTTTAATTAACATAAATAAATACTTTTCTTGGAGTCCATTGTGGGGCACAGCAACCCAGGTTGTATTGCCACATACAGGAGAAATGGACACACATAGTCACATAGAAAACTGTAGGCCAGCCCGCCTTAAGGCTTAACCCCTCCCACATCACACCTGCTTTTAGCTTTCAGTCTAAGAGAGAACGTTAGTTTACAAGGTGAAGTAGCTGTGCCCCTCAAAGGAAAATAATTGTATGGAGAGTACAAAAATTTGTATTTCTCTATTGTCTTTTTAGGGACACAGTCTAATGATAAGCAACCAAGAGTTATACTGCTGCTAACAGAAAAAAATTGACACTAGGCACATGACAGCCCCTTTGAGGCTTTAACCCCTCCAGGCTCACCTGCTCAGTTTCACTTAATGTCCTTTAGGAGAATTGATGGGTTTTTTTGTCTTCTTCTGCTATTTTTCATTATAAATTGGAATTGGAATTTTTTTAACTTTTTTTTTTTTTTTACTCTAAACCGCTACTGGTATATTCAGGAAAGTTATTGGAAATCCTCAAAGCCTCTCCAGTTAGCCAATGAGCACAGTTTTTCCCAGTTCATTAGGTGTAATGGTGTTCTCTCTGCGACAGTCCTGCAGCCAGCAGTGACAACCCAACTGTGTTCCAGTTAACACAGGACTCTGCTTTTTAGTGTAGGACTGCAGGCCTCTGTATTTCTTGCTGAGCTCCAGGACCAGAGGTGGGGCAATTTTGTGGTCACCCTATGGCTGCAGATGACCTTCCCACTCGGGACTATATTTGCACTATATGCAATACTGAGCTTGGTACAGGAGAATTTGTGTGCCTTCTGAACTTCTCATAGATCCCAGTCAGTCTCGCTTGCGCCATTGGATATTGCTGCCCACCTTTTATACTCCAGTGCTTTCGTTCTTCCTTCCTTCCTTCCTTCCTTCCTAATGGTAGAGGTTTTTTCTGATGCAATGATTTATTACTTTGAAAGAGTTATCACGCAGGGGAGTTAAGTGCTGTCTTGCTATCTGCATTACTAGCTGCAGTGTCATGCTTGTGCACAATACAAACTGTTACGGCCTTTTTCAGCATACGGTCATTTATTTCCGCTATTGCTCCTATTCCAAGGGACACATGCTTTTTGCCTTGGCTAGTCTTTGCTGCTGCCTACAGTGACCTAGTCACCTCAGTGGTTTGTTTTATAAAAAAAAAAATATATATTTAATATTTCTATTGTTTTTAAATGACAAGTTACAGCATACAATCGACACAAACCTTTGGTCACATTGTCAGATTTAACAAACTGCACACAAGTGTGAACAGGAGATATTAACTTAAGCAAAGTTACAGAAAGGTAAAGCAAATTACAGAAAGCATAGTCTTCAAAATTGTTGAAGCGCAAGAAAGATACACTATATCTAATTATGTATCTTTATACACGTACCAGGGTTCTCCAAGCCAGAGAAACCTAAGGGCGAGGTCTTCCTTATGGCCAGTGATCTCTCATAGTTGTAATGTAGCTGAACTGCATGGACAACTTAGGATACTGTAGGAACTACCTCGTTCTTCCAGTGTTTTAGCTATAATCAGTCTGGCAGATAAGAGTGTATGAGTGACTATCATGTGAAATTAGTAGGGAATGTCTTCTATGCCTCAATTTAACAGGGCTAGACCAGTGGTAGGATGGATCAGAATCCCTGTCACTTGTGAGATAACATTGAAATATTTTCCTCCAGAAACCAGTTGGACCTTTACAAGACTACAGAGTATTTAGTAGATTCCCTATATGGCCATACTTTCTCCAAGTAGTACTAGAACTTGGGGAAAACTTGGCTATATGATTAGGAGAGAGATTACCATCTTCAAACTATTTTCTGGTGGAGTTCCCACAAAGTCACACAACAGGCTGCGGAGTATATAGCTCTAAAGCAGGGGTAGCAAACCTCCGGCCCTCCAGCTGTGGTGAAACTACAAATCCCATTATGTTGCTATGTGCAATTACCACCGTCCCACCGTTTTATTCTACGGGATCTTGGCTTTCAGAAAATAATGTTTAGAGATATAAAGATGTACATTGTTGCACTCCTTACCGGATCATGATGGTAACCTGTGGAGTCCAGGTGGGTGCTCAGTGACCACGGGCGGCACCATGAAATATACAATGATTTCAAAAAATGTCATCAGCACACCATTGGTTCTGTGAAATTAACAAAAATCAATTTAATGACAAAACAATGCCATCCAAATACAAGTGCTTTCGGGCTGCACAGGGTCGCTTTCATCAGGCTCAGAATGACACCACAACATACAAACACCACCCTTTAAATAGGCATAAGATTAATGCGTAAAAGGGACTTTTGTTAATTTCACTTAACCAATGGTGTGCTGGTGACATCTTTTGAAATCATTAAGTAATTTTCAGGCTTAAAATGTGGATTATAACATGTAAACAAGAAATGGCCTTGGTCTTTAAGGAGTTAAAACCCTGTAGAAGATGCTGCCACCCCAACAAAGAACCCTCAGGCACAAAGAAAAGGCTGATAATGGGAGAAGTGCTCCTCCAATATCTAAAGGAAATACATTCATGTCAGTATGGAGTTATCTTCATATAGTATGTTAACTCATTTTTAACAATAAGTTGAATTGAGCGGAAGCTCACCTTGACAGGACAGGAAACTAGTGTTCCCAAAAAGCCAGCTAATTCCCCCGTATTGCTTAGTTGAATGACATTACAAATAACATAATATTGCCATCACTATCAAAATTCATGAACCATTGTAATTAGGCAGCTCTAAATTGTGTGGAAAGATGGTAGCCCACTTGTGACGGAGCACACGACACCCTGACCCGGGTGCCTCCGTCACTATGTAGCTTTCTCTCTGCTGAAACCCGAATTCCAGTGCCCTCAGCCCAAGCCTTCCTAATTATTGGACGGAACCAATATATTGGGATGGAAAACTAATCTCCCTAAATAATAAATATTTACCCCAAACATCAGGCAACACCAATGTTGAAGTAAAAACAGGAACTGACTATTGAAAATCAGCACAGTATTTATACAGTTCTGGTGGTCTAAAAACCTAATACAATCAAACATTAACAGAATGCAAACCGACCTCTTCTCCCCTGGTGCCCTAATGAAACAATGGGGAGAGAGGAGACCCATATGATGGCATTATCTCCTGAGTGTCTATCTTATGTTAAGCTGCTCAGCTACATCTAGTGTCAAGTTAATCCTGTTAACCTAATCAGACAAATGGACTTGACTAACAAGTTAAATGGGAGTCTAAGTCCATAGTCCATAGTGTTCGCTCACCTCCCGATCTACTGAGCCGACCTGTGACAGTCTCATTGTCACAGGTCGGCTAAAACTATGAGGTGAGTGAAAAGCACTCACCTCATAGTTCTCCTTTTAACACAAATTATATCACTTTTTGATAGGCTTATTTCCAAAGTGGGGAACGTTTCACGGGGTGATTTAGGCCTTTGAGGTTGCCTGAAAATATTTTAAGTCCTGTTAAAGTGGAGTATAAGTGGAAAGATTCAAAAAGTAGTTGACTTGCATATTGCTGAAGTTTTCTGGTCTTGTAAAAGGTAAAGTTTCTGTGGAGACAGGTCCGATGGCAAGGTTCAAGGATTGCACAACAGATCAACATGAAGACATTGTTTGCGCCTCTAACTGAAGAAACCGTAACCAGAACACTAACAAACTGGTTTAATAAAAGGGGTACCATATGCAGCAAAGTGCTGCTCAACCAGGGGGGGGGGGAGGG